ATTTGCTACATGGCCTCCACTATTGCGACCCCGAATCATGGCACTGCATGCACCTGGTTTCAGGCCGGTTTGCTTGTCCTCCTGGCAGCCTTGCCTCAGATATGCAACAAACAACACCAAGAATGCCTGTCGCGATGGCGGAGTTGTGGCACGGTGCGTGCTTACTCGACGTCAACAGCCTTGGCCGTGGATTTGGGCGGTAGGTCGAAGACCTTGCCTGGGTTCATGATCCACCTGTAATACGTGTAAGGACATAGCCTAGCTGTGGAATATGCGGGGACACTCACGCAGGATCAAAAGATTGTTTGATGTTTTTCATCAAGCCAATGGTGTCGACGCCAAGCTCGTCTACAAGACAATCCTAGAAATGGTGTCAGTTCCGTACAGTTACAGAGGACAGGAACCAAACCTTTTTGCCAATGCCAATGGCATGCTCTCCCTGTAGGCCGTCAACAACGATTTAAAGATACTTCTAGCCAGCAGTCGACTTACGGAAATCGTGCCTTCCATCTCAAGAGCGCGATTCATCATATTGTGAACGCACCGAGAAACACCCTCCTTGTGCTCAGCGTTCTTAGGATCATACATCACCGCTTGGTGGAAGTTGCCGTCACCGACATGCCCGATAACACTGGCAAAAAGACCAAGAGCTCCGGAGTCCTCCTTGGATTGGGCTACATGTTGTGGCACTGTTAGAGTGTCCTTCCTGTTGGATGCCTGGGGCCGTGGTAGTGCCAACTCACCAATGATCTCGGCTAGCCTGGAAATGGGCACAGCCACGTCCGTAGACCACATCGCATATCCATCTGGCTTGATGGAGGTCATCGTCCAAAGGGCCTCCTTTCGCGCAGCCCACAGATCTGCCTCCTCCTGCTTATTACGCGCGAAGAAAATATTGCCGGGCTTGGAAGGGTCTACGATACGCTTCACCTTCGCAACATCTGCCTTGATGCCCTCGGTTGTCCCCGCGAACCTAAGCGAAACTCTCATCAGCTGGGAATTGAACGGGGTTGTCCAGGGACCACTTACTTGAGAAACAAAGTGGGACTCTCATCCCAAGCAGTTTTGCGCACAGCCTCGCTTCCGTGCCGGTTGATTACCTGCATCTGAACCTCGTCCATAAACTCCAACGCACCGAGCTGGATCCCGGAACGAATCAACTTCGTCGCCGCCTTAGCTGCCTCGCCAATGCTCGGGAACGAGACAACGGCAACGCTCGTATCCTCCGGCACTACCGCCAGTTTCAGCGTGATCTCCGTAACGAGGCCGAGAGTACCTTCAGCCCCAACAAACAGAGATGTAAGATTGTACCCGGCAGAGTTCTTCCTCGGACGCTTTCTGGTCTTGATCACGCGGCCATCAGCGAGGACGACGGTCAGGTTCAGGACCCAGTCCTTCATGGTTCCGTAGCGGAACGCGTTGGTACCGCTGCAGTTGGTAGAGACCATGCCCCCGATCATCGCGGTAGGAGAGGGGTCCAATGGCAAGAAGAGGCCAGACTCCTCGATGGACTTATTGAGGTCAACCCAGTTGACTCCTGGCTGGACAACTACGTCCATGCTGGCACCGGTTTGTTAGCACTTAATCATCAACGTTAGGGCTGGTCAATTACTCATCGGGGTGGAAGGCAACGATCTTGTCCATATGTACAAAATCTACACAGATTCCACTGTATGGAGAGGAGAAGCTCCCTTCCACAGAAGAGCCAGCTCCAAATGGCACTGCACCCGTCAAAATCGAACACAACTTGAAGTTCGGAGGCCACACTTACCTATTGGACATCTGTGCTTGTTGCATATCTCCGCAATTTTGGATACTTCCTCGGTATTGCGAGGGTAAACAATCGCCACTGGACGTCCTTTCGAGTTGGACGTTGACCAGTCTGAATGGCCATGTCGCTCTATTTCGTCCTGGTCGTAGCTAACTGCCTGAGGGCCTAAAGCGTCTTCAATATCTTTGGCAGCCTGCCGTTTTGTCAGAATGCCCAGTCACGGCTGGAGGCTCCATCGTACCCGTTTCATCGTTTTTTCATCGGCAAATTTTACACGAGAAAGTTTGACATTTGCTCGAGTTAGATGATCTGTGGCAAATTCTTCAATGGTAGTATCGAAATAAGATTCCGCCAGCGTTATAACCACCAAGAAGACTACCGCGAACCGAAAGGCTTCGGCCCACTCCTTCGGATCAGAAAAGAATTCTGCCGGCGTCCGCACCCGCGAGGCATCACTTTTTGAGCTTTGCGGGCCAGCATCTCGTGGTTTTGTCTTCGGAAAGGGCCTGGAGGCAGATGCATGGCGGAGTTGAGAGTTGTGAGGGCTGAATGTCAGCCCAGGCAGACGTCCGCGGACAACGGATCGCGGCCCATTCTGGAAGAGAGATCTGCGAGGCAGGGGGGCGGCTGACCGCGTGAGCGCACGACTGAGCATTGCGAAAATGCCCAAAAATGGTCGATGCGAGAGTTGCCGGTATTCGCAACCACGTGCGTGAAGACTGTCGCGGTTGGTGGTCCGGGATGAGGTGGCCGGGTGCGGGGTTTCTGCAGGTGGGTTTATGGGGGTTGACGCACACCAAGAGCCTTGATATAAAGTTCAACCAGGTAGCTCAGACCCAGTGCTCCGGTCCAGAATCTGTGATATTGTCGCGACTTTGGTGGGGGAATGTGAGCTCGCGACTGATGGAAAACGATGAGCCGGGTACGACGCGTCCGAATTTTGCCCCGCCGATCCGGTCTTGTCTGGGGCGATTCGGCTCCGGAATTGGATTATGCCGAGGCATGCCGGGGAGAGAGTATCATCCGCTCTGATAACACACATCGCAATTACTGAATGATGCAAATCGCTTTGTTATTTGCTTGACATGGATGGTTTCAATTGTCGTCCATCTCTTCATGAAAACAGTTAAGACCGCGAGACTTGTCATAAAGACGTATGTCGATATGTCCAATAGCTTCACCAACAGACAATACTGGTCAAGTATGTATACCACGAGCTGTCGCAAACAAGATATAAATATGAAACTCGGGTCTAACTATAGTAGAGACATATACAACGAGTTTCTGGGAAGGACTGCCTAGATAAGCAGCGGTCTAGTTGAAGCCCCGCTGACAACTTTACTTGCCAGAGAGTCTGTGGCGAGTTTCCGACGAAGGTCATGTACTACGGCGCACTTCATGAAAGCTGTGCGAATTTACTTCCATTCAAAATGCACAGTTGCACGCTGATGCAGTGTGTGTCGATTTGCAGGCCCAAGTCTTGTCAGCAGAGTGGACGCATGGGATCACCTATAACCTCAGTATTCAACTATTAAACATATATAAAGTCCTAGTCACAAGAACATAAGATTGTCGCTTGACATGCCATCTAAGATAATGAACACAGAGAGCATAAACACAAGTTCTATTAAAGTAGCTTTTAATGGCTAAGAATTATTTCTTTAGTTTGTAGTGCCTAATCAGGTCATGTCTCGGGAAAATCCAAAGAACAGGATGAGTATGAGAGGCAGCAGATGATACTTATTCATAAAGCCTTCATCCACGTCCTGTTTCTTACATGTACTATGTTAATATCACGATTAAGTTCCTATTTTCTTTCCACGCGTAGTCTGGAACTGAAAATTGCAATCATGTATAGGCGCTGGCGTGAATTGCGTCTGTTGTTAGTTCCATCTCGTGAATACAACATCGTTTTTGGTCTTGTAATTGCTCTGAACTGCGAGACCTTCAATGCAGAACACTAGACTCTCGCAGCCGTCATCAAATCAAGTCACAGCGATACGTACATATGTAGACACACCGCCGAAGGATGATTCGCCCGCCCCCGTCTGACGCGGGAGCCAAACACCGCTAGCCGCCCCAAACATACCACCTTCCCGATCTCGCACCCACCACCAACCGTGACTCACCCAGCCTGTCCACCCTCACAATCTCGCTCAAATTTGCCAAAACGCCAGGTGAACACCATAAGCCGCCGGTGAACCATCCCCATCCTCCCGTTCTGCGCGCCATGTCGCCCAAGTTCATCGTCCTCCCCAAATCCCACCCCTCCCTCGCCAAATTCCTCCAACTCTCCGACCGCTACAAGGCCTTCCGCCTGCTCTCGCTGCGCCTCTCCCCCGAGAGCTTCGGGTCGACGTACGCCCGCGAGGTCGCCTTCGCGCCGGATAAATGGCTTGCGCGGCTGGCGAACCCGCTCGCGACGACCATCGTCGCCGTCGATGACGGGGTTATCCCGCCGTCGCCCGTGCAAGCGCCCAGCGATGTAGATCTCAGCATCGAGACGGCAGATGCGGACGCGGACTTTGAGCTCGCTTTGGATGCAGAGTGGCTGGCCTCCCTCACGATCTCAGGGCCGCTCGACACCAAGACGCTGGCGACACATTTGCATCTTGAAGAGTCGTTTGTGGATTTCGGGCCGGCGCATGAATTGGACCTCGGGCCTGCGAGGAAGTGCGACAGGCCGACGAGGGAGTTTGTCGTGAACGGGATGTACGTGCTGCCGATAGCGAGGGGCAACAGCTTGGGGGTTCAGATTCTGGAGTATGCCAAGAGGTATGTTGCGGCTGAGGCGAAGGTTTCTGGGGAGAGGGTGAGGCTGTTGTTGATTGTGGATAACGACAACCCTGCGGCAAGGAGGACGTATGAGAAGTGCGGGTTTGGGGTGGTGCATCGGTATTGGTTCGATGATTATCGTGAAGGGAGGGGGACGAGAACTGAGGCGGCGGTGATGGTGGTTGATTTGAACGATGGGGATGGGATTGTGAAGAAGGCTGGGTAGGTCATTCACTTCACAGAAGAGAGAGGCAAAAAGGCTCGCATATGAACACGATTATGAAGCAACGAAGCGAGGGTCACATTTCACGGAACACGCACTTTCCATAGCAAGCAATCTTTATTATTATTTTCTTAGGACCGGTCTTTCCGGCTTCCACATATCTCATGGTCTTGGTTCCTAACCCATGTTTTAACCGATTTCATCGTCATCACATTCCTACATTCAATGTCTTCAAAACAGGGCCTCAGCCGCAGTCAACACCTTCCCAACTTCATCATCCTCAATCTCCTTCTCAAGCCACGCGACAGCCTTCTCCTCCATCATCTCCCAGCTCTCACTCTCATGCGCCAGCTTCTTGCGCAAGAACGCGACCACCACCGAGGTAGCCACCACGTTCTGGCTCGCCTGAAAACTCGCCAGCGCATCGTTGACGTGCTGTTCCGTGACATCCAGCGCCTTCAGCAGCTGAGCAGACCAGGCCCAAAAGCCGCTAAAGTCCTGCATCTCGACGAGCGCGGAGAACTTGTCGGCACCATCCTCATCGACCTGTGCGTCATCGTCCTCGTCTACCTCGGCCTCAACGCTGAACATGTTGTTTCCAGCGCTCCTTCGCTTCTTCTTGTGAACTGGGGCGGCAGGCTTGGGATCGACGTCTTCGTCTGAGTAGTCGATGAGGTCCTCGTCGGGAAGTGGCATGGTCGCGGCGTCGCTCATCTCCCTTTGGTATTGGGCCAGCATGGATGGGTCAACTTGTTTGGTAGGCGGAGCGAGTGCGGCTGCTTGAACAGGCGCCGGGGCTGGAGCGCCGAAGAGACCGCCGGTTGACGTCGAGGTGCCGAAAAAGCCGCCGCCTGTAGGGGGGGCCGCGGATTGCACGGCTGGACGGGCGAGGGCGTTGCTTGCGAACGCCCGTGGAGCACCTGAGAAGCAAGAGGATGAGCTACCAAACAGACCACCAGTCATGGGCTTGCTTCCAAATGCAGAAGAGCTCGCGCCTGGTGGAGTGGATATTGGAACGCCGAACAAACCACCAGCTGTCGGCTGGCTGCTGAACACAGATGTAGTCGCAGCCGGTGCAGGTGGCGAGACAGGAGAGTAGCTTGGGGAGTTGCCTCCATATACGGGAGAATCTCCTCCAAAGGAAGGCGACCTGCATCCAAACTGTGACCCAACTGGTGATGTGACAGGCGAGGTGGCTTCAAAATTGCTAGGGGAAGTGACGACACCATAATTCACACCACTACCAAAAGCGGTCGCGATGGGTGCAGGGTGGGGGGAAGAGGGCGCGCCGAACAGGCTGCCGCCTACGAATTGGGGAGCGGGCGTACCTTGCGCCATGCCGACTGGCTGAATGCGTTTGGACCTGTCTTGACGGAGCTTCATGAGTCCTTGCTGATGGTTTTGTAGTTGTAGCTGTTGTTGCTGCGGTTGGATCTGCTGTTGCTGCTGTTGCTGTTGTTGTGCCTGTTGCTGTGCGAGGCCCATCGCCTGCCTCTGCATGATGCTCTTCCTTGCCGAGTGTGCTGTGTTTCTGCAGCGGCGGTCTTCAGCCATGTCAGGAATACCCTGCCAATCTGGGTCTCTTCTAGGTGCGGGGACCTCCTCAACAGGTGATTCGACCGCATCTCTATCGTCGTCGTTGGCCTCGACCGCGACGAAGGAGCACCACTTGCCTCCGACTTGAAATCCCACACCGAGACGGACCGCCTCGCGCTCGACCATGGCCGGGAAACGGCCGGGATGGCTCTTCTGCAGCTCCTTCCCGTCCTTGCCTTTGGCGTGGAAGATCCAGCCGCGGCCCTCTTCAAGCTCCTTGACGGCTTTGCGGGCTGCGAGTTGGTGGATCGTCTCGGCCTTCTCGGAGAGGGCCGTGATGGGGATCTCGAGTTCCAGAGGACCTTGAGATGAAGTTCCGCGAAGGACCACAGACGAGGGAGTTCTGTTCCTGAGTGCCCGGTCTGGCGATAACAGGAGGTAGACGCTGGTCCGGCTGTAAGGGTACAGGGGCGGGATACGGAAGGGCGCCTGGAGGATCTTGGGTGGCTTGACGGTGGGCACATGGGAGAAGCGCTCGGTGCCAGTTCCATCGTCTTGCTGGTTGGTGTTTTCCATGTCGACGTCTTCGGAATCCGGGTCAAAGAGGGAGATGGGCTTCTGGGCCTCCGGCGCAGGCTTCTCATTCGAGGGTTCAGCCGTGGGAGATGCGTGATTGATGATTTCAAAGTCGTCCTCGGGCTCGGTTTCCGAATCTGCGTCGGCGTACTTGACCTCAAGGGAGTAGTCCTTCACGTGTGGGGTGAGAGCTCCCTTGAGCATCCGGACGACCTTGCCCGACATCTTCTCCTTCTCGGAAACCGTCTGCGAAAAGCCCTGGCCTGCACGAGCGAGGCCCTCGACCAAGGCATGGCTGACGCCGCGGCCGATGCCCAGAGTGAACAGCCGAACACTGCCCTTGGAGTCCTCCACATGCTTGTTGACCATGCCAAACAGGTTCTCGTGGTTCCAAACCTCACCATCCGTCAGAACAAACACCTCAAGGTCCAGGTCCTTGTGCCGGCGCTTGAAGGTCTCCTCGATGGGCGCATAGAGCTCCGTGCCGCCGTAGTCGGAACCGAACTTGTCGATGTGCTTCATGGCAGTATTCAGAGTATTCTGGTCGTACGTCTGGGACTTGGGGAAGAGGAACGTGTGGCGGCTGCCGAAGCTGCAGATGTTGAACATGCAGCCGACAGGGAGGGACTTCATGTAGATCTGAAGCGCGTTCTTCAGGTCGGCGATCTTGCCCTGCATGGAGCCTGAGCGGTCGCAGACGAAGACGACCTCGGGCTTCGTGGTGGCGAGCTTGAACTTGGGCACCAGAGTGGCCATGATGGCCTGCTGGTGGGGGATTGTGGGATGCGTCTCGAGGACGGCGATGGGGTTGGATGTGTTGGTTGCGATGATCTGGACGATGAAGTCTCTCTCGAGCTCTGCGGTCCCGAGAGAGAGCGTAGCTGAGGCTAGCTGGAAGGATGGGGTGGCGTCGGCACTCATGGTCGAGGTTGAGCCAACGGAGACTGCAATAGGGTGAGAAGGGGACTGGATGGATTTGATGGCGCTGCCATCTGGCATCTCCGCGTCGACGACGATCTCGATGCCATCCTTGGAGGAAACGTTGGGAGCCTTCTCCATCAGAGTGCCGGGGTAGGAGCCGTAGCGGGGGGCGATGCTCGTTGGGATGGTAAGTCTGATGCCGTCGACCTCGGCATCGTGCTTGAGCTCGCCGAGGTAGGCAATCTCGACTTTGAGCTCGGCGCCGGCGGGGGCGTTTCCGATAGTGGTGGTGAACACATCGCTGGCTTCAGGCAACTGCTCGAAGAGGCCAGCAGTCTCTCCCTTGGCGACGGCCGCGTCGTATGTTTTGCGGGCGGTGTTCTTCTCCTGGACAACGCCGCGGACGACGCGGGTGTTGTTGATGGTGCAAGTGAAGCCTACCACCGAGACGCCATCGTACAAGGGAAAGGTGTAGCGGAGCTCGGGGATGACTTCGGTCTTGGATGGGTTGACGAAAGTCTGGGTGAGGGTCGTCCTTGCAGTCGATGCGATCACGCGGGCGTGAACTGATTGAGAGACGGTAGGCAGATAGTTCCGTCGATACCCATAGTGATAGGGTGACGTCGGATCGAGGTAGTAAAGTCCACAGACGTGACCGGCCATGTTGTTGACCTGGCCGCCGAACAAGTTGTGTCCGGTGCTCTGTCCAAAGAGCCCACCTGTGGTACCGTTGCGATGGCCGTTGTTGTTGATCGAGCCAAAGAGACCGCCAGTGGCCGGGCCGTTGCCGAACGGGTTGCTGGTGTTTCCGGTGTTGTTGCTGCTGCCGCTGTTAGAATTGCCAAAGAGACCACCCGAGTTGTTGTTCGAGTTGGAGTCAAGGCCACCAAAAAGACCTCCCGGGGCAGGAGAGCGACCAAAGACCATGATGACGGTAGAATACTTACGATCAAGAGCACGCGAGGTGAAGCAACGCTGATCGAGGGTACGCAAGGATGGCTTGGTGTTTGTGTGTTTGACTTGATTAATGTGATGATTCGTAGAGAAACAATCAGAAAAGGGCCCAGACGATGAGCTGAGTTGTTTTGGATGCTGGAAGAAGTACTAAAGAGAAGCAGACTGAGGCATGAATGAGGGTGCTTCTTATACACCTAGGAGAGAAGGAATGACATCGAGGAGGAGGAGTGGCTTGTATGTGCTCATTGTGGTGTGCCTGTGCTGTCTGGTGGGCACAGGCAAATCCAGGCACCAGCTCCTTGCTCCAAAGCGACCAATCACAGCGCCCGATGGATGCCAAGACGGCGTCTGATTGGCTCAGAGTCCTCCGATCGCTGGTGCCTGTGCCCCTAAACGGGTACCTAGCAGGGCCTAGCAGGGAGTTCTGCGACTCCGCCCAACGTTTTCCGCCGCTGCGTATTCCTCCCCGCTGCATCTTTCATTGACTTTCTTTCCAAACCACTAATCGTCGTCGTCTATCCTGGGCAGACAGCTCTCTGCTTAGAAATGCAGTGCAGTCTGCCTTTAATCAATCTCTTGTATTTTAAATCATTGACCGTTTTTCTTCAATATTAGAAACTCAATCGACAAAATCCCAACTTCTCCAAAGTCTAGGCTGCGAACCATGTCTCGGCTAATGACCGCCGCCTGGCTGCCTTCATAGTGAAGGAGTGCAGTCGTGACTCATAAAATCCTACGACTACGAGCTCAACAAGATGTTTTCACATGCTTGATAATCAAGATGGACCAAAACTCAATTGACGATGGGTGCAATGTATTGATCGCGGCGTTTCCATATGTCGTTCCCTTGATTCAAGCTTCGTCCATGCTTCACGCACTCCGAAGATCAAACTGTGACTCATTGTTCAAATCAGATGAAGCAATGGTCCTTTGGAAACTTCACATCAGGCTGGCTAACAAGTAGCTACTGAGATGAAGGTCTTCTTAGAGCATACAGTGACACATAGAATAGCTTTCTTCAAGACCTCACCAGTACCAGGTCTACTTCGTCCCCTGATACCTGAAGGTCAAGCGCGATAACGTCGTCTCTGCCCTTGACTTCTTGTGTCTGATGAAGCACACCTTTTTGATAGATGCCATACGTGCCCTCTCGAAGCCCGGTAAACTGAGGCTGGACACTGTTCACGACGTTAGCAATCTACTCCACAGCGTTGATATCCACCATCTCAGACTCACCTCTTGCTTGTGCCATCCCACGAGCGCAACGTAACCGCCAGCGCCTGAAACCCCTCATCCCAACTTCCTCGCAAGAAATCAACCCCACTCGCGAGATCAGCATTGTTGACGAAAGGCACAGTCGCAAAGTGCTCCTCATCCCAAGGCTTCTCATACATCGTGCGCTGGCCATCCGGGACGTTGAACCTCGCATACGCAACCGCAGCATTGCCGCTAATCACATCCACAGCGGCACCCCCCTCAGACCTCCCGCTGCCGCCGTAAAACAGGCCTCCATCTTCCCACGTAGGGCTCATCTTCGCATCCGCATACGCAAGCAACCCGTCCACGTGCTCCGGTTCCCCCAACTCCGACGCCCACATCGCCGCGTACGCAAAGTGCGGCTTCGTGAAGGGGAACCCGCTCGCCGGCAGGTTCTGCTCTGCAACCGCTTTCGCGGCCCTGGCGTAGGTGGCCGGGTCCATAGGGTCGAGGCGCTCCGAAGCCACGAGTTCGCGGATTTTGAACGAGACTTCTGGTTCAGGGACGAAGACGTGGCCCTCTGCGGACTTGGCAAGGTAACCCGTGGCAATGTCTTTGCTCGTGCGGCGGGCGAAGTCTGGGTTCCAGGAGTTCATGAATGCGAGCGCCCTGCGGGTGTCAGCTTAGACCTGCGCTTCGGTTTGATGTTGTCGACTTACCAAGAGGTGAAGGCAATGTCGGACGGGGGCTTTGTTCGATTCTGCTTGGGGGAGTACCAGTCGACGAAGAGACCGTCGTCTGAGAGCATGCCCTTTGCTTTCCACGCGGCTTGGTACTTTTCCAACACACCCGGAGAGAGGTCGACCTTGTCCCGGACATCGTTGTATTTCAGTGCAATCAGCTACACCGAAGCGTTAGTTGCTCGTGATGCAGGTTTTGGTGAGAATTCTCTCGCTGACTCACAGGAAATTGGTTGCAGACGACGAATATGCTATTCGGCTCACAGCACACCCCCAACCAGTTCTCCCGCTCCATCTCCCGCAGTATGGCCTCCTGCAGCGTCTTTCTCGTGTAGCAGAACCTTTCCGGCCCCATGCCCCAGAAGATGGGGTTCCAGTTGAACGCGATCGAACCCTCGTCGTCGACCCTGCCCTCGTGGAAGAGCATCTCGTGGAGCGAGACCATGAGAAGGAGATGTCCCGAGTACTAAGCTCTCTAATCAGCATGCGTCATTAGACGCCTTGCAACTAGATTCCGAGGTTACCATGATGTTCTCGCGAACAACCGGATCAGCCCAAGGCTTCCTAAGCTCCTTGATATCCGGGTCGACCATGATCCCGCTGTGACTCGTCAAGAACCAGTATCCCCAAACATCCCGCAGCAGCATCTTGTGAATGAGACTCTCAAGCAAGGATTTGAAGGTCGACCTCAACGCAGGCAAGTGGTGATAGTGGGCCGCGCCAGCGGCATAGGCCATCGTTGCGAGCTGGTAGCGGTAAGCGTCGAGCCATTCTTGCCCGGGCTCCTGGCTGCCCATGTGCTTCCACTCGCCATCTTTCTGGGTGGCGAGGTTGTGGAAGTGCCGCAGATGGCCGGCTTGCTCCCGCGAGATCTTTGGGAATCGCTCGATGAAGTCTGCGGGGAGCGTCTTTGGTAGGGTGGACGGTGATCCTCCGCGTAGCTCGAGGGCTCCGCTAATCTTTTGGGTTGACCTGATGATACTTGTGAGTGGATGCTTTCAAGTAGATCTGCAGGTAGAAATCAACTACTTACGTTACCGTTGCAGTAGCCATGATCAAGTCTCTTTATTGCAATCACATCAAGAGTTGCGGTCTTCAATAACCAGCTATCCCGTAGCCAAAGCCGTTCATCGTCATTTATACTCTGTGATTTCCCCATCTTACTCTCCGACCGCGGTCGGGCTTAAACAGCGACATCAACAAAAGTCCTGGGATCTACGTGTAGAAGACCCCTGTCTCGCCCCAGATCTGACATTCTCAGCCAGTGGAAGGGCGGATGAATACTTATGACGGAGCTACCACTATGGCAATTGAGTTGTTATGTGAAGTAAGATGGCGCATCGTGATTCGACAGCCGTACGCTTCTCCCGAAGAGGGCTCGCTCTCCGGCAAAGGATTTTGCGGGGTCTCGCCCGATGATGGACGCGCTTATTCGGACGAGCGTCTCAAGATGGGGAATGGGGTCATGACGAACCGGGGTCGGAATCTAGTCGGGCTCCGGCCCCCCGTCGGTCCGTGTCATCCTCAACATCTATTAAGGTGCTGCTCTCCTCGCGGCCTTTTCGGTCCGGTCCCGTGGGTGGGTTAATACCGCCGTATGGGTTCAGTAGATGGTGCGGCGCGGTGGGACAGAGTACTAGGTATGTCGTCTAAGTTCATTAAGCTCGACCTTTGTTAACTGCAAAAGGCAAATGAGCCCCGAAGTGGGCCGCGGGAGTTCGCTTTGACTCGCCCCCACCATCGTGACCTTGACAACCTCTGCGGGGTGCGAAGACAAGCGGAGACACAGGCGTTCTTAGTGTAGCGGTTATCATCCAAGCCTTCCATTCGAGAAATCGAGAGAGCTTGGGACAGGGGTTCGACTCCCCTAGGACGCATTATCTTTTGCCTTCTTTGCGTTGTAATTGTCGATGTCTCTTCTTTTTGGCTGGTTCTGGAGCGAGTTGCGGTGTTGCGGAGTGTTTTGCTCATACCATGAATACTAGTTAGTTAGTCCTTTTAATTAACAAACCGCTTATTATTCCTATGTGTGCGCGGCTATATCTGTGCAGTCAATTATTCCTACTAAAAACGGTAGTAGAAATAATAATAACAATTATAAAGTGGCGACGACGATAGCATTAATAATAATGAGGTGGAATATACTCTGACAGGAAAAGTAATCGTTTTGCCACATGAAAAATAGTCAGTCTCTTCATCAATTCATTATGAACCATCCTTTTCAACCACCAAACCCAAGGATATGCCTCTCCAACTCCCCAAAATCTCCCAAATCCTGTCCCGTAAGTGTGAGATCCTGATTATGATAAATAGAGTAGCAATTATACGCATCCTCCGGCATCAACTCAGCCATCCCCGCCGCCTGCTCCGGCACCTGCGCATCCTCGCCCGCAGCCGGCTGCATCCACAGGTACGATATATCATTCCACAAACTCGAGTCCAACAAACTCCGCGAGCCAAGCTGACTGGTCCGGCCCGACGGCGTCACCACACCACCCTCCTTTGGCATGAAGCCCGCGAACGCATGCCGCCGCGCCTCTGCATCCTGACCACCGCCCTCGTCATCCATCGACACGACGATGCTTGCGTCTCCGGCGACGGTGGGCGGTCTGTTCCGCACCTCGCTCGGGCTGTTCTTCGGGATGTCGAGGAAGGTGGACAGGTGGTCGCGCATCCGGCGCACCTCGCGCGCGCGCTGGGAGGCGAAGTCGTTGCCGCGGGCGACGAGGTAGTCGAGGATCTCGAGGGCATCGGGGAGGCCCGGGCTGGGGGCGAGTTTCTGGGAGTCGTCGGAGGTGGAGTCGATTATGAGGGTGAGGATCATGATGAAGGCGGCGGAGAAGATGGCGTCGAGGTCGAAGAAGCCAAATATTGCTACGTTAAAAACAGGTTAGATATCTGGGACTTGGTGATTTGAATGCCAACTTACTTAGCATATTGCCCTTCCGCAACGCCAGCAAGACTTCCAGCAACCTCCGCGCCGCCTCTGAACAGGTGCGGCTCAACCTGCCGAGCGGCGAGGTCCCCAGGCTC